ACCCACCGCCAACTGTTGGGATACTCTTTTACCAACGAATAGTGGGATTGACCATCACATTATAACGCCCCCACGGCTGAAAGGGCGAGCATGTTTATTGTGACGGGGATTTGAACCCGCGACCCTTAGATTGCGAGTCGAGCGCCCTGACCACCTGGCCATGCCGGGCCCACATTCATTGCAAAGAACTGATCAAAAATAGGGCGAAGTTAATAATTTTCTGTGTAAAACACACATAATTCCATATGGACCCCTGACAGTAATTAATATTGACGGTATCTGTAGTTTCTTTTTGTGTGAATGCTTTGTAATTAGTCTTGAACCAGCAAATTATTTGGTGCATAAATAGTTTAAAAAGCTGATGAGTACCAGAATCCTATATGCCATTTTAGGGTTAAGTGCTTCGCTATATTGTTCAAGCGGTGGCGTTATAGTTACAATAATACGTTACCAGCTTAAACAAACGCACCCAGGAGTGATATATATATATAACCTTTAGATAGCACAGCGTTTACATAATAGTTACTTACTATATGACCTTTATTACAGAAAACGCCAACAACCGATAAAGGCAAATCCACATATTTTTGGGTAAGTTTTCTATAAAAGGATTTTTAAAAATTAAAGTAGTAAGTTTAACATTTTATTTAGTCAATAAATAACCAGTGATAATTACTCTCTATATAATAAAATCTGAGTGGCGACTCTAAGAAGAGTATAACACGGAAATAAGCTGTTGACAGAACTGCTATACTACCAAGGTTTCCTTTTCGTTTTCGGATCGTATAATGCCTTGACGACTGTTTTCAGCAGGGGGCGTTTTATTCTATAAAGGAGAAATATGTGAAAAATGAAAAAAGAAGAATATGTGAAATATATACATAAATAAATATATGGCTCTATTTTCAAATCTTTATTCGTCTCCCTCATAAACACTATTCCAGACAAAAAAAGTGTTTTATACTTTTTCATGCGTAATTTCAAGTAAACACACAAGTGTTTGTTTGTTTTGAATTTCGCGCAAAGCCACACGAAGGCTATCTACACTAACCATCCCTTATTTATCAGTGAAAGACTAGAGGGAAAGCAGCTAGTTATCACCCCCAACTCTTGGGCTACTATTTTACCAACTAATAGTGGGATTGATCGCACATTATAACGTATCCACAGCTGAAAGGGCGAGCACATTTGATGGGACGGGGATTCGAACCCGCGACCCTCAGATTGCGAGTCGAGTGCCTTAACCACCTGGCCAATAAGCCTTCAGACTTACCGCTAAACCACTGAAGGGCACATGAAAAAGAATAAAATTATAAAGCAGCTAAGTCAACAAGTTCAGGTATAATATGCCTTTAAAACAAAGTATAGGTTAAAATACCCTTAAACTAAAGATACACAACATCCATTGAATACTTCGTTAGTGGTATATTAGTTCTTGTGACCTGGAATATATTGGGTCAACCATTAGAAATCTCTGCAGTGGAAAAAAATAAAATAAAATTATAACGCTAAAGCCTATAGCACCAACAATATTACCAACCACTTTCTAAATAAATGAAATGTTATGCCTGCTTCCGGTTTCTTCCGCATCACTCTTCATTCCCGGAAATAATTTCATCTTAGATTGCTAGAATCTCTTGCCATTAAGCTAAGAAAAGTCAAGCACCCTAACCACCTGGCCATGCCGGGCCTACATACAAATGACGTTAGAATTACACTCAATAAAAAATATTTTAGGCTCGTAGCCGGGGGTCGGGGAATTGAGCGAGCAACCCAATACTCTGAAAGTTTAAAAAGTTCGCCATCTTCAGATTTTTTAAATGAACACTTGATATTCATCTAAATCACTTAAGTTACTTGTGTAGAACCCCCCCCCACCACCACCACCACATACACGCCTCTGTACTTACGTACATCCTGAAAAAAAAAATTAAATCTTATGCTTGTCAAATATTTATCGGATATTTCGTTTTTTAATATATATATATATAAATAAATAAATGTTCCTTGAAATAAGTTTGCTTAAAAAGATGTATTTATGATTATAATAGTTGGGTTACAATCTGACATAGAACCACAAACTTCAAATAGGGCACATGATTTAAGCCATGAAATTAAAGAAAAGAAATTTTATAATTATATTTATAATTATTTGTGTTAGGCCTAAAGTGAAACTAAAACCAGCCAACAATGAAAGTAACCTGTACCTTAACAATCAAACTTACATCTAACAACAAATATGTAACAGTTAACAAACAACTTTTACACACCAGATGTATGTATTGTTGCGTCATCGAGATCACGTGACAATTCT